AATCAATGGTATGTGAATCGTATTTGAATTGCATGTGAATTGCATGTGAATGGAACTGTACGCTGTCTTCACACTCGTATATGTTTACATGTATGCAGAAATTGAGTAAATGTTTGTCTCACCTCTTAAAGCATCAGTAACAATGATTGGTTCCCCTCTTTTCACATATTCTGCAAATTCTTCTTTTGATATATTGGATAATCTCTTGATCTGTTCATCAGAATGGTTTAATAGATAATCCCTTTCATCTGCTGGTATCCACATTGCACACGGTGACGTCAGAGCTGATGTAATGTCTTAAAATATATAGTTTTGTTTTGTTGCATTTACAATTTCAACAACATGTATTCCATAAAAGTGTTAAACATAAAAGTGTTAATATAGAAAAAAGTAATAAAGGTGGTTTTGGTAAAAAAACACAATATTTCAAGTCACAACCTCTAGAAATGAATTGTATTTGTGTCAATTAAAATTGAACAGGAGACAATATATTATGAATTTCAAAATTGTATCTAGAAATATTTTAAAATTGAAAGTGAGACAATATATTATGAATTTCAAAATTATATCTATAAATATTTTAAAATTAAAAGTGAGACAATATATTATGAATTTCCAAATTACATCTAGAAATATTTTACTGACGGACAACTACAGGTAATAGCTATATTATTAGAAGGTGTATTATATATTTTTTTAGATTAATAGTTGCACAATAACATACTATTGAAAGAATAATATTTACTATGTTAAATTTTAGCAGATTCAATGTTGCAGGGATATTAACAAAGTTTTAATATCAATGATGTATGATAAAAACAATACAGTTGATTGTTAACTTTGTATATGGATCGGACTCTAATAATTTAGTGCATTTATCCATGAAAAAAATAACTAATAAATTATTCCTTTGCAGTATGGAAAACTTAGACTTTCGATTAACATTTCCTTGTTAGAAAATTGACTTTCATTTGAAAAATATGTGGCTTTGTTGATGACAAAAATAGCCAAAAAATGTACACGCACACAAGAGTAATTGTGATACCAGCAAATTAAATAAATCTAATAATACCAGATAAAGAAATATCTTGTATATATTATAAATAAAGAAGAATTTGCTCACATTTTTTTTACAATGCATTTCATTAAATTGAGTATTTTTCATAATTGTACTGATTCTCAAAAGCAAACAACATTTACATTATGGGTAGGGTGGGTAGCTGCACAACGTTTTAACAGTCATGTTTCACACATGTTAAAAAAATTACATATTGCTATATAACAAGTTATTTTTTTCTTCGAATGTGCTTATGATGATGTCAATGGTACCCTAATTTAATCACACTTACCTTCTTTCAGATAAGCCATGTTTCGAATAAATTCCGCGCCAACTATCGACTTGAATACCCACCACATACAGGGCAGTGTAAAATACCAGAATATAAGTAACGCTGCCGGCAATGACAGCGCCATAATGATACCGACAACTGGATCAGTAAACTGTACATCTTTAGGACTGCCGGTCGACCCGAACTTGGTCCTGATCGGTTTGTGTTCTCGTTTCTTCGCGGGGAGAGCAGACGAGACTTCTCGGTGTTCGTCGTCTGCTGTGTTCGTCGCATTGGACTCATGTTCTGCAGTAAGCCTTTTGTGTGCCATTGCAGGATATCATTCCCCCTGTAGTAAATGGAAAACGAGAATTGTGCGAAGTGCACGACTAACTGTTGAATGCGGAAGTGGGTTCAGCTAGTTTGTGTTGTGTGCCGTAAAGAGATGATTTAGTTTTGCGACTTTGTGCTATGACAACAAAAGGCATAATTAAAAGAAGAAAAAGGATAGAGCTACTGTCAAAAAATACGTAATGCATACTATTGTTGTAAGTAGTATAAATATAGAACATTTGCATTGGGTAACTCAAATCGTTGGTTTTATCATGTCGCAAACAAATCTAAAGTCGGCTATATGAGGGCGCGATTCATTGAAAATGGCCGCTTTTGGAGGAGCGGATCAAAAATGGTTAGTTGACACCGCCCAGAGCTTGCTACTCAAAGACCCGGCAGCTGCCAAAGCATGGCTTCTTACAGCAAGGGCCTTGTTCCCCAGAGACTTTGGTATCCAAGTAAGTGGACATTATTGCTTGATTGATTTCAATGCGGAGGAAATCACCACTAGGGAGATTGACCACTCTGTCTCTCACTCAGGTTTCATAACACTGTGACTTACTTCCAGATTTCAAAGATCAAACTATTGTTCAAATTTGCTAAAATCACATGTATTTCATTAGATTTGTTGGCCTTCCTTAAGTTTTTCGGAAAAAACAGCCAGTTTTGTTGTGTCTAAACGATAGTTGTCCAGATCCACAGCTCGCCGATACTTGTCAAAAATATAGCTTCATACACTTGTCTAACAGCTGATGTAATTGAAGTACGCCCTCACACATTGTGTTTCAGATAGAACGCTGAGAAAAGCCAGTTGGATAGCAGCAACCATATGATTGGTGGCATGAGACCTTCAACCACACAACACAGTTAATTTGTTTATTTACTGATAGACCAATAAAACTATTTTGTCTGCCTACATAAACTGCTGCATTGTTTTCCTCTGTCGATTATCGTTCTTAATTCATTAAGCGACAAACCACAATTGTGTATTCGAACCCTGACTGAAACGGATTGTATTAGATGTGTATTCAAGTTATCTGTCTGCGGGCCACACATGTCCATGTGCACAATGTCAATCACTCGGGCCATATGGTGTTAATACAAAAGCGGCTGCGAGAAAATGAACAAACATCTGCATGTTGCATTGCGTAAAATATGGTGTTAAACAGTGACAAATGCCCTGCAAAAGACGAAAAATAAGTTGTTAAACAAAATAGTCAATCATTCGTTGTGCATTTAGTATATTAACATTAGATATGAACACGTATCGAATATAATTGATACCAGGGCCGGATCGACCAAACTGTTTTGGGGCTGGAACGTCCAAACCAGGGCCGGATCATCTTTTTTTTACCAGGGCCGCAACCGACCAGGGCCGGATCATCCTGACAACCTCTGTGTCATGCATAAAGGGCTCATACCACTAATTGAATTTCCATAGACGACAATGTTAACATATGACGAGATTGCTATATGAAAATGACGAAGAAAGTTGAAAATATGGCTCAAAAATGGGAAATCAACATGCCAGTAATCAACCATATGAAAAAAACTAACATGTTGGCCAGCTCAAACTCTTGCAAATCTCAGGTAAACAAGACACACCTACGCCCTCAAACAGGGAGCACCTGAGAAAAATAACATTTAAAAAATTTCATTGGTTCTTGCTGGGCATTTAAATTGAGGGCTACGAGCAGCCATTGGTTAATTAGTGGCATGAGACCTTAAGAGAAATAAGAAGGTTTAATAAAGTTCTTGTTGATCTTATATATGATGGAATATCATTAGACGAGTAATTTCCCG